GGAGCTGGTGCTGCAGGGCTGCGGCGGGGACGTGGTGCAGGCCATCGAGCAGATCCTCAACAACCGCGGCCCGGAGAAAGGCCCCGAGGAGGGCTGGGCTCGGGACGGCGCCTTGCAAGGCCTTCCGCCCACTCCCGCCGCCGCCCACCACCGGCCCTTGATAGCCGGCGCCATGGCCCCCGCTATCGGCACCCTGGGCAGCCGCTCTGCCTTCTCCCCGCTGCAGCCCAACGCCACGCACTTCGGGGCCGAGGCCGGCGCCTATCCGCTGGGCACCCACCTGGGACTTAACCCCCTGCGCCTCGCCTACTCGGCGCACAGCCGCGGACTGGCCTTCATGACCCCCTATTCCACGGCCGGGCTGATGCCCACCCTGGGGTTCCGGCCGCCCGTGGACTACGCCTTTAGCGACTTGATGCGGGACCGCTCTGCCGTGCACAAGGAGCAGGTCTACTCCGGGGGGCTCTACGGGCCCATGGTCAACAACACCCCCGAGAAGCAATAGCAGGGACGGCTTCCTAGAGCTCGTCTGTGTAGATGTAGCTAGGTAGGCGTGGGTGGATGGACACCAGTGGCTTTCTGTCCCCTCTGCCCCATACAGGCGGCAGTTGCGTGCAGGGACCGGCATGGGCAGCCTTAGGTGTATTAACACGGTGGTAAAGGTGCACTTTTATTGTCCAGATAGCAGTCACTCTTTGTTGCTTATGGCCATAAGCATGGATACCCTCGGTGCGTCATGGAGTGTGTACACACACACACACACGCGCGCTCTCTTTCCCACACACATACATATATATATATATGTATACTAGCAAGTGTATGTTATAAAATGGAAATCTAAGTTATTAATGTAACGCGTAGGTGAACTTGGTATTAACATTAAGCTAAAGGTTAGGCAGCCCATTGTAATACTTACCAGGCATATAGATTAAACATATCATCAAATTGAAAGCCTTTTCCTCCCCTTCCCCAGAAATGTTAACGATCTGTATATAACATTGGAAAGTAGATATATTTGTAACTGTCTGTAGGACCCCGGCGCAAATGGTGTATGATGGTTTAATAAGCCTCTTTCATTTGTGATCTGCAAGAAAATTGCTTTCTTGTTCCGATGTAGCAAACTTCTTGCTGTTTCTAACAGGTAATTCTGTGTTTCCATTTCATAGAAATAAATGTTATTTTCTATTAAAAAAATCGGTCTTATAAATGGCAAGTAGTATTTTATGAGATGGTGGAAGTGCATTTTGGGAAGTTAATTTGACAAGTATAGTCAATATTTAAAGGAGTTTATGCAATTAGTACAATCATGTTTACTATACTTTTTTCATGGGCAAAACGGACCATCTTCGGAAAACTTATAAATAAAACCGAAGCATACAAACCAGAGCAATCTCCTTATCAACCGAAATTGTCAGATATGTTTATTTCTAGTTCTGGTCTTTTTATTATTTATGCCAGGAAAAAAAAGCCACACAGAAGTGTAAATTTAAGCAGTTTTTTTCTCCTTCGATATCTTGCCGATTTGTCACATTTGGGAAATCTGGCATTGTCTCAGAGAAGAAAAGCACGGTTAAAGCAAACACCTGCCTTACCGTCCATGCGTCATGTAGCAGCGGAGAGGTACTTCTCTCTCCTATCTGAAATGTGAGTGTGCGTTTCAGTTGTTTCTGTACGGAGATAAGCGAAGGGATGTATCGTAACGAATAGCGCCGCTTTTTCAGAAGGTACGGGGGTGTTAGCGACAGGTGGGAATGAGTTACAGCACCTCAGGGCGGGGAGCACGCAGGAGAGGTTGCATTGGTTTGCTTTTAGAGCTGTGTGTCCTTTCAAATCGTTTCAAGAATAAAGGCTACATGTGTGTGTGGGGGTTTTATATTATAATTTTAAAATTATTATTTATTTATTGTGGCTTGGCTTTGGTTTTGTTTGTTTTTGTTGTTGTTTCTTTTGGGTTTATTTTACCTCCCCCCCCTCCTCCTCCCCCGCTGGTCCTACTATCCTTCAAGCCCACAAAGCGAGAAAGGCGTTCCTCCTTCTCCGTATGCATTTCTTGCGATGAGACAGAGAGGCAGCGAGTGTAACCCTCCCTGCATCCCGTGGGACGATTCTTCCGAAGGCCGGAGCGCCACTTTATCACCGGTCCTGGGAGCGTTTGGCCCAGGAAAACTATTACTGACAAAAGAACAAGTTCAGCCCGCGGTTGAATTAAGACTGTAAAAGCTCCTAAAGTTGGTTGGTATGGAAACCTAATCCCACCGAACCGCTCCGTGGCACAGCTGGACTGTTTACTTTCTCACTTCAAATATAACTGTGTAAACATTGACTGGGAGCTGACAGCGCGGCTCCTTCCAACCAGTTCGGGTACTGGTGGAGCTGGGAAGGGGACGCGTCACACCATAGCAGTCGAAGGAAGCCTCGGGGTAAAATCGAAGGACGGGAGCAAGGAAAAGGCAATTCTCCCTTTCCTCGCAAAATTTATCAAGCTAGATACAATTTTAAGATTTCCTTAAAAAAAAAAAAGTAAATATTACAGATTACACCTAGGTAAATACTTTTGACCCTGCTCTGTCCTGGGAGCAGCCAAATCAATATCACAAGGGAAAGTTTTTAAAGTCTCGTGTTCCAAGAGCGGGTGAAACTTAATATTACTACAATAAAACGGTTTAATAAAGAAGGGCTTTAATAGTGAGCTAATTTGATTGAGTTTCCTAATTCCATTTTAATTGGAAAAGGAGTTGTCCGTTTGGTTATAAAGTGCCAGGGTTATGTTAGACTGGAAAAAAAAAAGATGGACTTCGAGCATCTGAATAAACTTTTTTTCCTTTTTTTTTTTTTGGTTGGCAGCTGACTTTGTGCAGGATGGGTTTCCATATCTAGGATTATGAATGGGCTACAAAGAGCTGTAACTTAAAGAAAACAGGTCGCCACATTTCTCCCATTCTAGCCCTGTTGAGAAGGGCTTAGGAGCTGTTGATTTAACTCAGCTCCCCTTTTAATTATAAAAGCCATTCTTGTGTAGTTAGCCGAGCAGGACAATTTATCAGAATTGTTGCCGAGTCTTGGAGGTTGCCTTGAGCTTGGATTTATGCAACGGACAATGGGGATCACGACGATTAACTTCCATACGGATAGTTTAGGCTGTTAAATTGGGAGGAGTAGGAGGAGGGGGTAAGAGAATCCGATACGTTGTCCCCATTGAGATAATTCTCCTAAACTGAAAATATAAAAATAAAATTCCCTTGGGTTTGAAGCTGCCTCGGAGTGGTTCGTATACAGAATCTCTGTTAGAACATAAAATATTCAGGTCCCTTTTAGAGTAAAATAAAATGCCGTCACTTGAATAAAAATCCGCGGAACCGAGTATAAATTGTTTGTAAAGCAAAGAGGCTGCGGGCGAGCCTAGCAAACTTCCCTGTTAATTAAATCTTAAGCCACGGGTCGCGGGAAGCGGCGGGGCTGTAGCAGCGACTGCTGTACATACAGCGGGACACGCTCCGCACTGATACTAGCTGCACTGGTGTTTAATATGAACCGGCCCTAATCCACAGCATAATAAAGATCAAATTAGACTAACCATTTAGTAGCGAAATGACATTCCTTTACCTAAAATGAACCTCTCCGCGCCCCGCTCGCTGTGAGGCCGCTTGCGCAGCCGGGCAACGGCGGGCGAGCAGCGGCACTGGGCTGACTTCCAGCGCCAGGGCCGGTCGTAGCGGCCC